GGAGGGAAAAATCACCCTGCAATTGCGTACTGACTTGTTTACTCTCAATGCCAGCCGGATGCAGGCGCCATCTTGTAATGGAGAATGCAGGGACAGCTCCCTACATGTCTAGGCTGAGGGAGTGTCCCTCTATGTGGAATGGGCTCCCAAAGTCCATTCATGTACTATGGATAAATACTGATGATCCACTACAGTCCTCCTAAGTAACACCCACATTCAGGGAATCTGTGTGGGTCCTATGCTGGTTTCCCAGCTGTCAGACTGGAGTCCATGAGCTCCCACTTATTCAGGTCAGCAATTTCTGTGGGTTTCTCCAACCTGGTCTTGACCCTTTTGCTCATCACTCTTCCCTGTCTGCAACTGGATTCCAAGAGTTCTGCTCAGTGTTTAGCTGTGTGTTCTAATTCTGCTTCCATCAGCTACTGGGTGAAGGCTCTAGGATGGCATATAGGGTAGTCATCAATCTCATTATCAGGGAAGGGCATTTTCACTATTGCTTAGATTGTTAGTTGGGGTCATCCTTGTAGGTCTCTAGACATTTCCCTAGTGGCAGGTTTCTCGTTAACCTATAATGGCTTCCTCTATTAAGGTGTCTCTTTTCTTGCTTTCCTCTGTTCTTTCCCTGACTCAGTCTTCCTGCTCCCTCATGCCCACCTCTCCCCTCCTCTTCTCCCCTTCTCTTTCTCCTGACTCCCTCTCCCCTCTCCCCATGCTCCAAATTTGCTCAGGAGATCCTGTTCCTTTCCCCTTCTCTAGGGGACCATGTATGTCTCTCTTAGGGTCCTCCTTGTTTCCTAGCTTCTCTGGTGGTGTGAATTATAGGCTGGTGATCCTTTGCTCTGTGTCTAAAATCCATATATGAGTGAGTACATACCAAGTTTGTCTTTTTGTGACTGGGTTACCTCACTCAGGATGGTTTCTTCTAGTTCCATCCATTTGCCTTTGAATTTCAAGATTCCAGTGTTTTTTTTCTGCTAAGTAGTAGGCCATTGTGTAAATGGACCACATTTTCTCTATCCATTCTTCAGTTAAGGGGCTTCTAGGTTGCTTCCAGTTTCTGGCTATTACAAATAATGCTGCTATGAACATAGTTGAACAGATGTCCTTGTTGTGTGAATGTGCATCTTTTGGGTATATGCCTAAGAGTGGAATTACTGGATCTTGAGGTAGATTGATTCCCATTTTCCTGAGGAACTGCCATACTGATTTCCAAAGTGGCTGTATGAGTTTGCACTCCTACCAGCAGTGGAGGAGTGTTCCCCTTTCTCTACATCCTCTCCAGCATAAGCTGTCATTGGTGTTTCTGATTTTATCCATTCTGACAGGAGTAAAGATGGTATCTCAGAGTTGTTTTGATTTGCATTTCCTTTCCTGATAGCTAAGGATGTTGAGCACTTCTTAAATGTCTTTCAGCCATTTTGGATTCCTCTATTGAGAATTCGCCATTTAGTTGTGGACCCCACTTTTTAATTTGGTATTTTGGTAACTGGCTTCTTGAGTTCTTTGTATATTTTGGAGATCAGCCCTCTGTCAGATGTGGGGTTGGTGAAGATCTTTTCCCATTCTATGGGCTACCGTTTTTGTCTTGTTGACTGTGTCCTTTGCCTTACAGAAGCTTTTCAGTTTCAGGAGGTCCCATTTATTTAATTGTCGATCTCAGTGTCTGTGCTACTGGTGTTATGTTCAGGAAGCAGTCTCCTGTACCAATTTGTTCAAGGGTACCTCCCACTTTCTCTTCTAAGAGGTTCTATGTTGAGGTCTTTGATCCATTTGGACTTAAGTTTTGCGCACAGTAATAGATATGGATCTATTACCTGCAGTCTTCTACACACCATCATCCAGTTATGCCAACACCATTTGTTGAAGATGCTTTCTTTTTTCCATTGTATAATTTTAGCTTCTTTGTCAAAAATCAGGTGTTTGTAGGTGTGTGGATTAATATCAGGGTTTTCAATTTGATTCCATTGGTCTTCCTGACTATTTTTGGGCCGATACCAAGCTGTTTTCAGGACTAAAGCTCTATAATAGAGCTTGAAGTCAGGGATGGTGATGCTTCTGGAAGTTCCCTTATTATATATTATACAGGGTTGTTTTGACTATCCTGGGTCTTTTGTTTTTCCATATAAAGTTGAGTATTATTCTTTCAAGGTCTGTGAAGAATTGTGCTGCGATTTTGATGGGGATTGCATTGAATCTGTAGATGGCTTTTGGTATGATTGCCATTTTTACTATGTTGATCCTACCTATCCAAGAGCATGGAAGATCTTTCCATTTTTTGTTATCTTCTTTAATGTCTTTCTTTAAAGACTCAAATATCTTATCACATAGGTCTTTCTTTCACTTGTTTGGTTAGTGTTACCCCAAGATATTTTGTGTTGTTTGTGGCTCTTATAGAGGGTGATGTTTGATTTCTTTTTCAGCCCCTTTATCGTCTGTATAAAGTAGGGCTGCTGATTTTTTTGAGTTAACCTTGTATCCTGCCACGTTGCTGAAGGTGTTTATCAGCTGTAGGAGTTCCCTGGTAGAGTTTTTCAGGTCACAAATAGTGAGAGTTTGACTTCTTCCTTTCCAATTTGTATCCCCTTGATTTCCTTTTGTTTTCTTATTGCTCTAGCTAGAACTTCGAGTACAGTATTGAAGAGATACGGAGAGGTGGTGCATGCTGGTAGGATTTGCTGAAGGAGGCAGAGGCAGGAGGATTATAAGTTCATTTTTATTTTTTTAATTTTTAATTTTGTTTTATTGTTTTCAAGACAGGAGTTCTCTGTGTAGCCTTGGCTGCCCTAGAACTGCAGACCAGGCTGGCCTCTAACTCAAAGAGACGCACCTGCCTCTGCCTCCTGTGTGCTGGGATTAAAGGTGTGCACCACCACTGCCTGACTTATTTTGGTGGGGGGGAGTTACAGACACTTGTGAGCTGCCCTGTGGCACTGGAAATCTAACCTGGATCCTCTGCAAGAACAAGCGTTCTTGACTGTTGCGAGCCACCTCTCCAGCCCCCAGCCCTGGCTTTTTAAATGTAAGCATCTATAGCCATAAACTTCCTGCTCGGCTGTAACCACAACTGAGCTTTTCACCCTCATCTGTTTATGTCCTCCTTTCTCTGGTCCTGTTGATCATTCAAGTGTGCTGTCCTGCTCCTATGCTTGTAGAACTGTAAGGTGTACAGTTTTTCCACCTGCCGCCGCTGGTCTTGTCCCACCGCTGCGCCAGCCCCAAATAACGCACAGAGACTCTGTATTTGATACAATGCTATTGGCCACGTGCTAGTTTCTTATCGGTAGCTCTGCCTTAATTATTAACCCATTTCTATGTATTTCCACGTGGTCTTACCGAGAGCAGAGGAATGGCGGTTATGTTCTCTCCAGACTCTCCATCCTGACTCCTCCTATCTATTTCCTCTTTCCTCCTTGTCTCCTAGTCCCTCCTCTCTTGCTTTCCTATTGGCCAGCAGTGCTTTATTCATTAACCAGTATGAGAAACATTTACAGAATGGCATCTCCCATCATAGAACTTCTTCTGCTACTGTTTTCTAGTTTCATTCCCCTATGATTTGATAAGCTGTAAGAAATGGTTAATATTGTTACAGTGGTTGTATTCGTTTGAATTAACTTTGAGCCCTGGGGTCCTGGGGATATTTGTATGTCAACCAAAGTCCTACATCTGGGTTCCTGAAGCATGTGGGAGGGTTCGTGTGAGGGACAAGCTGTGTCTGTCCAGTGGAAGCCCTGGAGCATGAATTACACAGATAGTCTGCATTTTAGCTGGGGAGGTGGGCCCATTTGATCTCCATGGTAACAGGCCCAGCAGGGAAGAAGGTGGGTCTCACTTGTGAGTACTCATTAGGCAGCTGTCAGAACAGCTGAGAGAGAGTCACCTGGCCCAGTGAAAGAGACCCGGGAGGGAGATCAAGTGTCTGCAACACGGGGGCCTTGTGACCTCCTTCTCTGCACACAGCCTCTCACCCCATGGACCTCTTTGCCTCCCCGATCTTTATGTTGTATACCACCTGGGCTTCCTCACTCTCTGACTTCCTGTTGCTAATTAGATCCATGTGCAGAAGACTGCAGAGAGCAGTAGTCAGGTCTTCACCCCACACTGCTCTAGGTCAAGGCTGGCCCATGGCTGCATCTTCTCTAAGGCCAGAGCTCCCCTTGCTGTATCTTCCGATCACTGATGCTGTCACAGAGTTCTTTGCCAGCTCCCTAGGAACCGTTGGTATTTCTCTCAGGCCACACCTTTGCAGACCTCTCTCTAACCCTCTTTAATGATTGCTTTGAGGTCATTGGCTGTGGTTGCTCAGATCTTACCACACACATCAATCACCAGGACCTTGCTCAGCGAGGTTCTAGCTCACCAGATCTGGAGAAGACCAAATTCTACATTTCTAGTATGTCCTCCAAATCCCTCTAAGGTTGGCATGAGGAAGAAAGAAGGAGAAGAGGGAGAGGGTATAAGAGCTCTGCTTCCCCCCCCCACCCCAATCCTGCAGGAGGTCAGGGGTTAGAGAGAGCCACTGTCAACATTGCAAGCACTAAGACATGGATTCTTAGAAGAAACCATGGCCGGTTGGGGAGCAGCTCAGTGGGTGAAGCACTAGAGTGAGACTGGGGGGGGGGCTGGTCCCCAGACCCACATAAAGTCAGGCACAGGAGTGCACATCTGTGACCCCAGTGTTCCTGCCGGGAGCTCTGAGTCAGAGACTGAGTCTCTGGAACTCACAGGCCAGCTAGCCTAGCTGTGCAGAGACAAACAACTGGACACTGTCCCAAACACACACCTAAGATGGCCCTCTGACCTACACACACAGTCGTCTCTCTCACACACACACACACAGAGCCAGGCACAGCCACAGTCTCTCTCTCATACACACACACACACACACACACACACACACACACACACATACACACACACACAAATTCATACACACTACATTTTTTTTTTTAAAAAAAGTGGCACAATGTAGATATTAATACAACTATCAAGGGTCTGTGGGAAATAACATTTATTTTAAATATATCAAAAGCTTATATTAAAGAAAACCTTCTCCCTCCCCATTTTCATAAGCATCTATTATTTTCAAAGATTTGTAGTGACAGCTCACGCCCTCCGACATGCAGGCTCATGTCCCTTCACAGCAAATCAGTCAAAATTATGAGCTAATGTGTTGCGCTTACTTTATAGTCCATGTCCATGTCTACAACAGAATGCATTGACATGTGTTAATAATTTACAATCAACTTATTAATACACTGGTTTCAACACCATCTACTTACACGTTGATATAAATTCAGGGTTCGGGGTTAATTTTAGTTACTGACAGGGTCCCCATGTGGAGACGGAGGTTATTTTACATAGCTAGTGATAAAAATAGAAATGCTATGTCACAAGAGATTAGACTCTACTTTAAAAATATACAGTCTCTGGGTTTACTCCGTCGAGTTCTTTGGCTACGTACAGAAAGCATCTTTTCCCTTCTTTCCGTTCCCTTGGTGGCAGACGTATTCTAGCAGGTTCCCTCAGGCCTTCGTTTGACCTAGTTATGGTCAGTGGGATTTTGTGTGGTGTTACACTGTTTTGTAGCTACTGAGGCTGGCGTTTTTCAAAGCGTGCATGACAGCACAGGAAATACATCATGACATCTTTTTCTCTTCCTTTGGTAAAATGCCGTCACCAACTCTTTTGTTTTTGTGGTACCAGAGATGGAACCTAGGGCCTCACACCTGCCAGACAAAGCCACAGCCCCTGCTGCCTACATTTCAGCTGTAAAATCACCACCTACACAGGCACATCTCAGGGTTTCTTGTCCCATATGAAAATAGACACTGCCAGGATGCCTCAGAATAAATGTATGGCCTCCATCGCTTTTATACCTTCAGGAAGGAACTCAGATAGAAAAGCATGGTGTGCTTACTTCTGGGTTAATACCCTGGGGACAGCCGGAGGTGACACTTCACACACTGCTGTCGAGATGCTGAGGTCAAACTAGACAGGGCACATCGTCCCCCCTTACTGGAGTTCAGAGAAACAGTTCATCCTGAGAGAGGAGTTGGGTTTTGTCACCAGCCCTGGTAGCAACCCCAAGCCTTTGTAGGCACAGAGCAGAGGGCACCCAATGTCCTCAGTGGTACAAAGTTCACCTTGCTCTTAAAGGAAATCTGTCTCACAGCTGCAGGGTCAGGGTGGGCAATGGGCCTCTTTGCTCCTCATACCCCGAGGCAGGATGTCAGTCTGAAATTCTCTCCAATTTCAACGAACAAACGAGGAAGTCAAAGTTTACGAAGTATGTTCTGGCTCCCGACTGTCCTCAGCAGCATCACACTAAAAGGAGACAGCAGGCTCCTTCCCTGTCCCATTCCACAACTGGACATCAGTTTCCTAACACGGCTCATCAAAACCACACGTTTCAGGGCACAGGGTCTGTAACTCTCTCTCAAGATGGAAAGGCATTACGTGATGAAACAAAAAGATGATTCAAACAGTGACAACGCAACCTTACAAACGCAGAGGCCTGTGATTCGGGCAGTGAATTCCAGAGCATGTGGCTGAAGAGACCTTGGCATGTGTGACGGCTCCACCAGACCCTTTCTGCCCGCTAGATGCCTCCAGGGACCCTTCTCTGAGCACAGAAGACTTGAACTTTAGAGGGTGAACCCTTATCCGCCTCCGATCCTGAGAATTATCAGTGTGACGAGTGACAGTTAATCTTCCTCCAGGTGGCTTGGGGAGAGCCCAAGCTGACGGGGGGAGGCTAGACCTTCTCCATCTCGATGTGCTGGTGGTAGTGTCTAGCCTGCCGCGGTCCAACATTCAGCTTGTATACAGAGCTCTTGTGCTGGTACCTGCGGTAGCCCCACACGGCTCCCACGACCGCCAGGAGCAGCAGCAGGCACAGGACAGTGACAATGATGGCGATCACGGGGCCCCTCCGTAAGCCGGGACAGTCATCCCCCACACATGCTGCCGAGGTTGGAAGAAGTTTCTCCTCGCTTGCACCGGGCCCAGGGCCCTCCTGTCCCAAGAAGTCCTCAGACAGCAGGTAGGGGAAGCTGTCCTGGCCCTCAGGAGCCTGGGTGGCCCCGGCTGGAGGCTGGGTGGCCCCGGCTGGAGGCTGGGTGGCCCCGGCTGGAGGCTGGGTGGCCCCGGCTGGAGCCTGGGTGGCCCCGGCTGGAGGCTGGGTGGCCCCGGCTGGAGCCTGGGTGGCCCCGGCTGGAGGCTGGGTGGCCCCGGCTGGAGGCTGGGTGGCCCCGGCTGGAGCCTGGGTGGCCCCGGCTGGAGGCTGGGTGGCCCCGGCTGGAGCCTGGGTGGCCCCGGCTGGAGGCTGGGTGGCCCCGGCTGGAGGCTGGGTGGCCTCCGAGGGGACGAGTTTAAGGGTGTGCTGCGTTGTTGTTGGCGCTGTCCCTCGGGTGGAGGTGGCGAGTTCGTAGGCTAAGGTGTCTGCGGGGGCCCTCCCTGTGGCGACGCTCCGAGGTGCAGCTGATCGATACTTGGTCAGGTCACCATTGCCCGTGCGGGGACCCTCGGCCTCGGCCTCATCCACGGGGCCTGGAGCCAGCGCCTGCACGTCGAGCGATGGAGGCGGCTCCCTGGTGCCGGCGGCGGCGGCGGCGTCCCTGCGCCCGTCAGCTCCCCCGGCAGGCTGACCCCCGGGACCCAGCCCCACCGACGCCTCCCTGCAGGCCCCGTCGGTCACGGGGTAGCCATCCAGCCAGGAGTCGTCGGTGCTGCCCGCCGCCGTGTCGCCGGGCTCGCTGCCGCCGCCACCCCCACCCGCGGACGGCTGCGAGGGCCGGCGCGCGGCCGCGAGCCCCGGCCTGGCGTCAGGCTCAGCCCCCAGCTCCCGCCCCGGCGCCGGAAACCAGAGCGAGTACTTCCCGTGTGGGCGTGGCCCGGGCCGGCGCGTGCGCGTGCGGCCCCTGCCGGCCGCGCCGGGCGAGCCCGTGCTGGGCGCGATCTCCGCCGACGCAGACGTGAGGGCCGGGCGGATGCGGCCGTGTCGGGCCGGCTCCTCGGACGCCTCGTCCTCCTCCCCCTCGGCCCGCGAGTCTTGCGTGAGCTCCCGGAAGGACCCGGATCGGTCGTCGGGGAAGCTGTCCTCGTAGTCGACGTGGGCCTCGGCCGCCTCTGCGCGCAAGCGGGAGAAGCCTCGCAGTGAGCTCTCTTTACAAGGTGAAGCACGTGTGCACACACCAGCAAATGTCACCGTAAAAGGACTTTCGGGGACTGGCGGTTTTAGGGTAGTCCCAGCATTGGTGTGGCTGAGGCCGGGGGCCTCGGGTCTGCGCCTGAGCCATGCGCTGAGACCCCAGCGTGTGTGGGGGGGGCTGGGGGTTAGCTGAAGGGTAGCTCACTTGGGAGCATGCTCGCCAGCACGCACAGCCTAGTTCGTTTTCTGTGGCCGTGAAAAATACCGGGACTAAATGTGACCGGTCACCTTAGACCTCTGAGCCAGAGTCCATCATTTAGGGAAACCGGGACAGAAAAGGAAGCAGAAACCATGGGAGAACAGCTTCCCAGCATGCTCTCGCCCTCCCGCTCCCTCCTCCTCTCCCCCCCTCCCTGAGACAGGGTCTCACTATGGCTGACTTGGAACTCACCATGTAGACTAGGTTTGCTTCGACCTCAGATTTACCCGCCTCTGTCCGCTGAGTTCAGCTAACTTTCTTACACAGCTCAGGCCCACAAAGTGCTGGGTCTCCCAAATATCCACCAATCACAATGACCCACAGCACGCCCATAGGCCAGCCTGATAAAGGCGGTTCCCTCTTCCCAGGTGACCCAAAGTTGTATCAAGCCAGCTACAAACAGTGACCAGTACAGCTCACAAGGCCCTGGGTTTGATTCCCCAGCACCACATAAACCAGATGTGGCCGTGCATATCTGGTACCCAGCACTCAGCGGAGGCAGGAGGATCAGAAACCCAAGGTCATCCTCAGCTATATAAGGAGTTTGAGGCCAGTCTGGGACATGTGGGACTCTGCCTGAAACACACACACACACACACACACACACACACACACACACACACACACAGTAAATTAATATAATGTAAATATATTGAATAAATAAAATTTAAAAGATGGGTCAGGGCCTCACATGCTTAGCTAACCCCAGGACTAGGGGTTGAGGACAGGAAGATTTCCCCAAGATCTGCTCTCCAGATGGACTAGCCAAAAATAGACCTTCAGATATAGTGAGAGACTCTGTCTCAAAACAAGGTGGCAGGAGCCGGGGACACAGTTCCGTGGGCAAACGTGCTTGTCACGCAAGCATAAGGGCATGAGTTCAAATCCCCAGAACCCACATAGATCTTGGGAGGGTATTGTAAGCCTGTGAAATCCCAATGCTTCTAGAAGGAGAGGAGACAGGATATCCAAAGCTCACAGGCTGGCTAGTTTGTGTATTCAGTAGGAAAACAATGAGACCGTCTGAACGTGAAAGGCAAGGCGCAGAACCCAAGCTTGCTTCTTGTCATGTCATTCCAGGTCTGCTGTGACCCAAGTCCTTCACTCAGTGAACTTGAGTGAAGGTCGACTACCTGCCTTGGAATGTATCATGATGAAGTTCAAAAGCTTTTGTATGTGAGGTCTCACTCACCATGCTAATAAAACTGCCGGCTTTCGTTTACACACTGTACTTTAAGATACAACACACAAGATAGATGACAAATCTTTTCTCTAAAACTGGTCAGTTGTCCTAGATTCAGGTGACATCCCGGGCCTCGGGAATAAAGAGGTTAGGTGTGCTTGGACCTCAGTTTACCCACTGGCCTTCATGGAAAGATTACCGGTGTGTGTGTGTGTGTGTGTGTGTGTGTGTGTGTGTGTGTGTGTCTTCCCCATGCTCCCTTGTCTTTCTTTTTGTTTAAGATGGGGTCTCTCTATGTAGCCCTGGCTGGAACTCAGTAGACGAGGCTGGCCTTGAACTCAGAGGTCCACCTTTCTGTGCCTCCCCAGAGCATTCTGTACTCCAGGTTGGTTTTAAAATCAGCAAGTAGCTGACGATGACCTTAAACTTTCCCCAGGGCCTCTCCACACCTTTAGTGCTGAGATTATAGTCACAGGACACTTCACACGCTCTCGATGATTGTTGTTTCTTACTACATTTTTTTATTTTATATATGGGTGCTTTAGCTTTCTCTCTCTTTCCCTCTCTCTGTGTGTGTGTGTGTGTGTGTGTGTGCGCGTGCACCATGTGTGTACTGCTCACAGAAGGTAGAAGAAGGCATTGGGACCCCACAAACTGGGGTTACAGATAGTTGTGAACCACCATGTGGTTGCTGGGAATTGAACTCAGGACCTCTGGAAGAGCAGCAAGTGCTCTTAACCTCTGAGCCATCTCTCCAGTCCCCTGATGCTTGACTGAGCCAGTATGATTCAGAAAAAGCTAAGACACGGGCAATGGACAGCTCTCAGGAAGGAATCCAGGCATTGAATTTGTAGGATGGGATAAGAAGACCTATTGCAGGCATTTTAAAAAATACTTAATTTTTTTTGAGACAGGGTCTTGCTATGTTGCCCATGCAGGCCTAGAATTGCTGGGATTGCAGATATTTATCCTCACGTCTGGCTCACAGAGGCATCTTTGAATGGATGAAAGAGTAAATTGTCCTGGCATGGGGAAGGAGAAAAGTCTGAAGTAGCTCACACCCCAAACTGCTCTCCAAAGAGCTTCATAACCACTCAGAACCAAAGACCTGTTTCCACAAGCTCAATCTGCCACTGCCAACTGATGAGGGACGGACGGCTTGTACCAAGTCCTCTAAAAAGACACCATTGTTGAGTGCGTGCACGCACACACACACACACACACACACACACACACACACACACACACACACACACAGGCCAAGAGCCCAGCTCCCCCTTGATGCCTAGACCCCTGTGTCAGCTTAATAGAATTCCCCAGCAGACCACTGCTGACAGACTCATTGTAACGAGGAGGAAAGGTGACTTTTTCACCAAAATTGAATCTTGTTGCACAGAAACTTGGCAATAACTCTCAACCCTACACGTTATTCTAGTCTGTGGCCAATTTGCTTTTAATTAAAAGAGAAAAACGCTGGTGGCGGTGGTGCTGATCTGATGAGATGGATGGTGCAGCAGTAAGATGCTTGCTATCAAGTCTGGTGACTTGAATTCAATCCCTGGGACCCACATGCTGGAAGGGAGGAGCCGTGCGCGCATGGGCACGCGGTTCTCTAAAGGCTGTGGGCAGCATTTGTCCGTATGGCCATAAACATAAATATTTAGACGGCCTCTTGGCACCGTGGCAATTTAGCTAAACAGTAATACTAAGTTCACCTTTATGGCCTCAGATCTCTTCAGCCATGGTAGTTTTTGTTGTTGTTGATTTTGTGCTTTGAGACAGGGTTTTACTATGTAGCCCTGACTGGCCTGGAACTCAATATATATAGACCGGGCTGGTCTTAAACTCAGTGACCCATCTGCCTCTGCTCCTACCTCCCTAGTACTGGGGATAAAAGTCATGCACCACCACACCCAGCCAGAAGCCAGTTTTCACACAACTTTATTTGGCCTGAAGTCTATGAGACAGATGGCCAGAGCCTGTGAGTTCCGGCACTTGGAAACATCACCGTCAACTCCTCCTATGTGGCTTATCCTGCATATTTAAATGTGTTGTGAAGTGAAGTAACATCGTGAGTAGGGACAAGAGGTGAGTCATGGTCTTATCCCCACTGTCCAGAGTAGAAGACACTGGCCTTATGTTTGGTGTTGAGGATGGCGGAAAGTGATCACCCTTGGGCTAGGGAGTGGACAGTGTCAAGATGTTAAAGTCACCCTCAGCTCGTTGTGTGTGTGTGTGTGTGGGTGTGTATCTGCCTTTAGGGCTCCCTGTGGATACAAACCCCAGGATGGTCTCCCAGTGCCTTAGCCAAGACCTTCCTGTCTCCAGATTCTCAGTCCCATAATGTCCTGGCACTGAAACAGCTCTCCCTGTGTCTATTTCCCCAAAATTTCGAATGAGGACAAGGACATCAAGTGTTTATATACAGCTTCCATATTCATGGAAGAGTATCCCAGGCATTTTTTTTTTTTTCACAGCAAACAGCAAAGTCTGTTCCTGACTAAATTTCTACCAGAAAGTATGTTTGCCCCAGAGACGCAGAAGTCCGGTGTGACTTCTCTCAACGCCCTCTGTGTCCTTACTGCAAGCTGACGTCATGCCAGCATCCAAGCCCTTCCACACATGGCACTCTCTACAGCAGCCTGGGCTGACACAGCCTGGAGCCTGCATTCTGCAGCTGATAGGAGGAAGACTAGGGAAAGGGAGCTCGTGGTTTTCCTGGCAAAAACCAGGCCCTTCACTGGGCATTTATATCTGACGGCTACTTTAGGAAACAGAGCTCAGAAGTCAGGAGGAAATGAGAGGTTGGGCCTGCGTCTTTATGTTTGTTTGTTTGTTTTTCGAGACAGGGATTCTCTGTGTAGCCCTGGCTGTCCTGGAATTTGCTCTGTAGACCAGGCTGGCCTTTAATTCACAATCCCATTTGCTGGGATTAAAGGTGTGTACCACCACAACCTGGCCTATTTCTCCTTAAAAGAAAAAAAAAAATTTAAAGTTGGACATGGTGGCTCATGCCTATAACCTCAGCACTTGAGAGGCTGAGGTGGGATAATCACTGTGTTTAGTCAAGCCTGGGCTACAGAGTGTGACTCTTCCTAAAACAAAAGTCAATCTGTTTTAGTGAGGCACAATGGTACATGCCAGCAATCCCAGTATTTGGGAGGCGGTTTGAGACCAATTTGGGCTACACAACAAGAGTCTATTTCAAAGAGAAAAATAAATAAAGCAATAAAAAAATTCAATTAAAAACTAGTTTTAGGAACTTAATGGTTAAGAACACTGGCTGCTCTTTCAGAGGATCCAGTTTTGATTCCCAGCAACCATATGGCAGCTCATATGGTTGTTTTGCATGCATATATGTCTGAATACTGTGTGTGTGTGTGTGTGTGTGTGTGTGTGTGTGTGTGTGTGTGTAGTGCCTGAGGAGGCCAGAAGAGGTTATCTCTTAGAAATTGAGTTAGAGATTGTAAGCTCTCATGTAGGTGCTGAGGGAAATTAGCATCTGATGTTTCAGAGGCGCCCACTCTGTGTTATTT